ACGATAGCAAGTGAGTTTTGGCCTCTTTTGGCCAGGAGCATTGCCAGGACGCCGTTGGCCTTTAGGACCACCATCAATGGCAACGGTAGATGACTTGTCACCGACAGCCGTAGCTGCCGCGAGGACTTGAGGCGAACTTACCGAGGCCGAAGGCACCGAAGTAGGGGGCAAACCAGGGGGAACAGCAGGAGAAGTACCCTGAGACCAGGTAGTCTCGTGAACAGTAGCCACGGATGGGAGAGTATTAGCTGACGGGCCGGAAGTGCACACTGCCGTAGAGCATGGGGTGAGCTTCTTAACATACCGACCGTGCTTATCCAGGACCCAATGTCCTGGCTTCAAAGTGCTCCATCCCGTTCCAATGCCGTGGTTAACGCAGTGGACCCGCACTCGACGTTGGAACTCGTTCTCGTCCAGCATGAGAGAGAGGTGATCGGATGCCCAGGCACGCACTCCTGATGGCAGAGCCGCGAGCAAGCGGCCATTGGCCTGTGATACCGGAAGTAGATGGCCACGTCGTCGGAGCTGAGCTAGTAAAGTGGTGAACTCTTCCTCAAAAAGTTGGTAGGTAGGGAAGTCAGCAGCATTGAGGATATACCACCGATTAAGGACAGAACTATCGTCGTTACCCTGCACCGACGTGTAGATCGATCGCAAAGCGGCCACTGCTGCTTCATACTGACGACCATGGGGGATATTACCAATAGCACCGTAGGTAGACTCCAACTTCAGGCTTAGTTGAAGAGCAACATGGGTACCCAAGTTCTCGAAAAGGTAAATAAACCTAAAGCTGTCCGTTCCCAGGCGGAACACCATTGACGAGCATTCAAGTTCATGTAGGAAGTCCCCAAGACTTCTAACCTCCGTCACGTCCGCTGGACCTCGCCAACTTCCCCCCGGTGGACCTTTGGCCGAGGCTGCAGCCATCCTCGACCTTTCTTGTGCCCAACTGTCTCCGGGGGTCGGACGTCCTCGACGGTCATTGATATCCGCCAGAATACTCCGCTCAATGCTTCGTATGTTGTCGCCAGCATCAGCAAGGACGATGTTGTTACCCGTCGGGCCGAATTGCGGAGTGGTATTAGCGACCATTGGCTTCGGGGCAGAGAGAGTCGGAGCAGGCGGAGAAGGTAAGTCGATAATAGACGCCACAGGTTGCCTCTCAATGCTAACCGGGCCGAAGTTTGCAGGTGCCGTAGATGAGCAGTTCTGGGACGCCATGAAGTCGCAGAACTGCTGGAACAGAGCATTGATGTGACCAGGCTGGCCGGCTGGTTGTGGAGGGTGTCGGTCCACAACATCGCACTGGGGTTTCTGTTGCACCAATGAAGGCTGCTCCACCCTTGGACGTAAAAGCGGCGCCGGGGATGGAGTCTTGGATGGCGGAGCAGAATAGTTATAGTGGACCTGGTAAGATGCTTGGTCAGGAAGGCCTCGACGATCGAAAGTCTCGGACGGCTTTGACTCAGGAGGACTGTCAAGGCCGAAGTGTCGGCTGACCGGTAGAGCGGCATTATCCACTTCCGTAGGAGAGGGACTTAGAAGGCTGAACTCTCCTTGCTGATGATCGGACATATAGAGTAGAGACCTCGGCTGTGAACCACTTGAAGCAGCAGCACCCTCCTGTCCAGGTCTACCGCCAGTGGTAGGACTCTGAACAGGCGAGGGGTTATCTTCGCCAGAAGATACTTGGACCGGTTGTGAGCCATCAGCTCTAGGAAGAGCTTGGGGTGGATCAGTAGACCTTGTAGAAGCAGGCTGGGGATCCAGCAAGGGTTGCTGTGGATGCAACCTTGGTGAAACACGATGACCTGGGTTGAAGTTCATAGACCAAATAGATAGATAGTTCGTTGAAGAGTAGTTTCTCGGATGATAATAGCAGTGTTTGGGAACACTGCGATGGACGTCTCTGACTCAACACCCAATAACTAGTAGAGATATAGCAATAATAGGGTAGTTGCAGGATATACTGAAGGTAGTCTTCAACCAGGCAGCAGTAGGTGAAGACAGACGCAAGGACGACAGTATAGAGCCAGAGAGAGAGTGACGAGCCCAATAGCAAGGGCAAGAAAGAACAGAATAAACTGAACTGAGTGAGATAACAGCAATCACTCGTGCCACAATGGAGATGCTCAGACCAATCATAGAGCAATAGAAATGGCGAGACCACATGAATCATGAAACTGCTGATTCATGCGGATGCAGGAAGGTCGAGCGCTACTATTTCGCATGGCGATTCATGGCAATTCACCTCGCTCCGTCGAGGGCATCTATTTTCTCGCTCGCCTGTAACGCTCGAAAATGCAACTGCAAAGTAATTCATACCATGATAAGTGATAAGGAGATATACTTTTGATCCCAAACATTTCCATGTCGAGTTCATCATCCACTGGACCGCCACGTTCGTCGTGCGTCATGAGGTGCCACTTGAAACAACTTGAAGCAAGGTGAACTTGAACTAAGTTCAAGTCTTGAAGTTCAACTTGGGGTTACAGTAACCTAGTTACTTGGCAAGTAATACTCGGCGAGTATTACTCGCTTCTGTACTACAACACCTGTACTACAGCGGTGGGAGGCCAAGCTCAGCCCGAGTTTTCACCAGGTAATGTGGTCGGGGGTCGAAGACAGAGCTTCTCCTACGCGACGAGGGAGCCATTAAGAGATAGGCAATATAACAGGAAAGCCTTCAAAGACATGGATAAACCAGACTTCTTCGAGATACTGAACAGAATTCGACCACCCAAAAACGAGGTCTTTCGAGAGCGAAAACCTGTCTCTCACAAA